GTAAATACGCGGGGCGGCGCGATATATCCTCTCCTCGTTCGCTTTCTCGAAACGTCGGCGGAACGCGGCACGACAAGGAGTCGCGCGCGTCGAAGCGCGGCTGGCTGTTGAATGAACTGCCCCGCGCGCGAGTACGAGCGTGCGGCTAATCTACGCGCATAAACAAACGCACACCAGCGCGCCACGCAGCAGCAGCTGTACGTATATACACGCACAGAGCTCTCCTCTCCACTATCCGCTACACAGCGCTACACCAGCCGCACATTGTTTTGCTTCCAGGCCGATCGAACGTACACAGTATCAGCACTCGACTCTGTCTCTTTCCCTTTCTTACGCTCGCTCGCTCGCTCTCCGAGGATCAGTGCGGCGAGTTGCACAACGCGCGCATACGCTCGTTACACGCACCTACTCAGCTCCGATGAGGTAACGCACTGAGCGGGTGGGAGAGAAAGAGGAGGAACGGAACACGGTGAGAGCGAGTGATTATTTTGGCCCGACGGGAAGATGGTAATCTCGCGCGACGCTCCCGCTTTCGAATCGGATACACCAGACGGACGATTCCTTTTCTTCTATCTCTCTCGTGATTCTCTTCTATTTATAGAAGAGATATATTATACTTTCTTATTTTTTTTTCTTTTTTTTTATTCTGAGGTAGTCTCAATTCCACGGCTCGTTTTTCCACTTGCGATCCACTTGTTACTCAATGACGCGACTCTTGCGGTTTTTTTTTATACAGTCCGTTTTAAATGTCAACTCAGACGTCAGTCGGAATTTATTTTCACCGTTCCGATTTCGAGGTAGTCTCGGTATATACTTCGCTGTCTCCAGTCCTCGGGTTTCAAGGGCCTCACACACGTACAACTCGCTCTCCGCGAGGATCGCCGAATTGTCGGCGCAGCACTTTACGACGCGCGACGCGTTAGAAAACGCGTCCGGTGCGCGCCTGCTCCTTTGTTTACCTGGCGTGACTTCACCGCGCGACAACGTCGACAGATCGACAGGGATCCCCGATCACTTGGCGCGTGGAGCGGAGCAGCGCCAGCGAGCAAGCTTCAGCGAGCACCAAGCGAACACGGAGAGCGAAGAGCGAGCGGCCGCCCGTACGTCCGCCAGCCATGAACCTTCTACTCTGTTATTATTGTTTTGGTCGGGCGGCGCATGCGCTCCGTCGCCTGCCTTCCCCGCCGGTCGACCCCCCCCGCCACCGGCA